GTCACATTTCACTTGAAATATAAAATGCAAGGTTTTGTGTCAATAAATAGTTCCATGTGACAACTTACCCCAAATAGTGTATACCCCACTTGCCCTGCTATAGAATGTGATTTAAATTAACACGTGATTTAACTGACACTGACTTGTATTACCTCACCTGTGCATGTACTCAAATCTCTTCAGAAAACAGTTAAGGTTACACTCTAAAAAAATGCTGGGTTAAATACCCAGTGCTGGGTAAAATAGGGACAAACCCAGCAATTGGGTTGTTTAACAACCCAATTGCTGGGTTTGTCCCTATTTTACCCAGCACTGGGTTGTATTTAACCCAGCACCTTTTAGAGTGTACAGTAGAGTAAGTCTTTGATGTGTCGTAAAGAAAGACAATGGGATGATCAACCCGCTGATGGTCACTGATGTGTTTTCCAGTATTTGGTTTATTATCGCGAATTTTGTTTAATTGGCTTATTCTTTTCCGTGCGCGTTTTGATGTATTCCACGTAAATGTCTTAGTTTTGTTTAACGCTTCAGGCAGTCCTCTTGCTATGCGCGCAAAATCTCTAAATAGCCGTTCGATTCATCTTAGATCACAATATCCGATGACATTGCACATATGCCAACACTTGTGCTGTAAACTAGCTGTGTGAAGAGTCTAAAAATAGACAACAAACCGGTGTTTTTGCGTGGCGTGCCCTAGATAGTGTGCAGCGGGCTCTATTTAGTCAGAAATGTTTTGTTTCGAGGGTCCCTGACGGTGACTGGGTGACTCTGGACTCGGTTTGTGGGTGGGTCATTTGATCGGGTCAGAAGCGCAGCTGTTGCAGGGCTGGGACTGAGAAAGAGAGGACACTGAAATAGTGCTAAACTGAAATACTTAAACACAGGTGCAGGGCACTTCTTTTGGTTATCTAGTACTTTCCAATCACCCATTTAATCTATAGTGTCAGCAGTGTTCCGTCCCATTTGCTTCTGATCTTTCTTTGCGCCCTCGGTCTATTTTTATCAAGCCTGGAACATAAACGGAGTCGTGAAGATATGTCGCCTGTTTACAGTGGCGTTACAATAGGCAAGAACTGGAAGAATAATATTCTGGGCCTACTAAAGGGCAGTTATCTCAAATTTCAATAATGGAAAGGGAGTGGAGCGGTTTCCTTTCAGGGAAGTGGTGGGCCTAGATGGAAATAATTAGTAGGCATTTTTATGTCATTTTGTAATACTGAAATCATATAACACTTGTCATTAATTTCTGTGACAAATAAACCCTACATACACTCTAAAAAAATGCTGTTTTGACCCAGCAGTTTGGTTAAATATTTAACCCAACCTTCTGGGTAGTAACCCAACTGCTGGGTCAAAACAACCCAATTGCTGGGTTTGTCCCTATTTTACCCAGCACTGGGTATTTAACCCAGCATTTTTTTAGAGTGTAACCTTAACTGTTTTCTGAAGAGATTTGAGTACATGCACAGGTGAGGTAATACAAGTCAGTGTCAGTTAAATCACGTGTTAATTTAAATCACATTCTATAGCAGGGCAAGTGGGGTATACACTATTTGGGGTAAGTTGTCACATGGAACTATTTATTGACACAAAACCTTGCATTTTATATTTCAAGTGAAATGTGAAAAAAAATACTTAAATGTGTTCATAAGCTATTTTTAGAGTATTTAGAGTACTTCTATTTATTGACTTATTACATAACTATGAAACATAATAATTCACAAAATAACAAAAAAGGCAACATCGTATTGTTTTGCCAACAGAAATTATAATTAATGAAATAAAATGAGATATTTTAAAATACAACAAATAAAACCCATGTCAAATACACTTGTACACTTGTCCTATTCTGTTTGTTTTCCACTTATTTATCTTAAGCATGATTGTTGCATTTCTTACAGGCTCATATTTGGTACTCTTTACCCGGCATACTCCTCATATAAAGCTGTTAAATCGAAAGATGTGAGAGAATATGTAAGTACAGCTCTGATATATTTTCATCAGTTGAGCTTAATGACTTAATGTTTATTTGCCTGCTGGTTCCATAAACTTACTATTCTGCTCATTTCAAACAGGTGAAATGGATGATGTACTGGATAATATTTGCACTTTTTACTACAGTTGAAGTGATTACTGATATCTTTTTGTGCTGGTGAGTACAATGTGCCATTGCTTTTGTCATATCCTTTTGTTAGGAATTACTCATATTTTTATTTCTGCTGATGCATATGACGATTTGACATGGGCTGTAACCAGCATGACACATGAGTGTATGATTTTCTTTTATTGTCTTTTGAAGGCTCCCATTCTACTATGAACTCAAAATTGCCTTTGTGGTGTGGTTACTTTCCCCATACACAAAGGGATCCAGTGTTTTATATAGAAAATTTGTCCACCCTACACTGTCCTCTAAGGAGAAGGTACAGTATTTGATGTGATCTGTTCACTGTTCATTTTTATGTTTCCGTTCTGTTGATCTATTTTTTTTTTTTTACCCTGTCTAGGCTAAAAAAAATTCAAATGAAATCAAATTATATATTTAAATAAAATGATATATAAAATGATATACAGAACTTTCTCTAATACACAGACTAATAAATATTCTAATATTCTAAATGTTAAACAAACTAGCAAGCATCATCCTTATCAGCTGTCGAGAATCTCAATTTACCAGTGTTTTTAATGCTAAGAAACTGAATTGTTGGTATTGAGGAGGAAGTACATTTGACTCCTTTTCCTGTAAGCTTTTTGAGTTGATTTCCCTGGTTGACAGAGGATGAGCGGTGGTGGAGGAAATGGTACTGTTATTTTCCACAGTCTTTCCTCTGCTCTTTATTCTTGGGGCAGGAAATTCATCAGAAGGACAAACTAAGGGCAAATGGAATTGACAAACACCACTGATAACAAAGAGAAAATGAAAAGTTAAACATGTAAAGGACAATGGAATGAAACAGTACCATTCTTCATACAACTGATGTGAAATGTTCTTTATGACTCTTTCTTAGGACATCGATGAATACCTTTGCCAAGCAAAAGATAAAAGCTACGACACCCTGATGCATTTTGGAAGGAGAGGCCTAAATGTGGCGGCAACAGCTGCTGTAATGGCTGCCACTAAGGTAGTAATCTAATACCCTGCGTCCCGATGTTCATACTATCCATGTGTCCCAAAGCATACTATGTTGAAAAGAGTATGTCAAAAGTCCCTGGATGGTCTACTATTTCAGGTAGATTTTTGAAGTGTGGCTCCATGCACACTCTAATGGCTAATATTACGCACAATCCATTGCGCTTAAAGACCTATTCTGGCAGATAAACGTGCTACTTCTTTTCTCTCCAATACGATAGGAAGTTAAAGGGGTCATATGATGTTGCTAAAAAGAATATTATTTTATGTATTTGGTGTAATGAAATGTGTTTATGCGGTTTAAGGTTAAAAAACATTATTTTCCACATACTGTACATTATTGTTTCTCCTCTATGCCCCGCCTTTCTGAAACATGTCGATTTTTACAAAGCTCATCGGTCTGAAAAGCGAGGTGTGCTCTGATTGGCCAGCTATCCAGTGCGCTGTGATTGGCCGAATACCTCAAGCGTGTGACGGAAATGTTACACCCCTTACCATACTGTGATGCCCTGCCCGGCCGGAGCGACAAGACAAAAACATTAAAACCCATTATAAACTAGGCATTTGTCGCATCCAGTGGGGACATAATTACGGATTATAATGACTTATACTGTCTTTTTATGCGTTGCGTTGCATCGCGCAGCGTAAACATAAAACCATGTCTGCATTTGTGATCGGAGAAATGACAAACAACAAGCACTACTCTACACTGCTCAAAACTCACGTTTGAATCATCAGTGGCAAATTCTTTAAATATAAAAAATGTACTTACAGGCTGTGAGTCAGAAGCGCCAGACTGTCCTTGCAAAGTTGGAACTGCCCCACTTTATAGAACAGCCTTTGAGCACAGACCCATTGTAGGCTACTCTGCAGGTTCAGGAAACAGTCCTCCAGAAAATGCGTCACACAGCGTCACACACTGCGGGCTAAAGTGAGGAACGGCCGGCAGACTTGAGAACGGCGCGGCCGGCGGGCTTGTGGCAACCACATGTGACGACCCCGGGCTGGACTCCGCTTCGTCCACGGTGAAACACATCATATGACCCCTTTAAAGCTCTTGAAGATTTTTTTTCACTCTGTTACCAAAATTACCAAAATCTGCATATAGATTTCAGTGATTTCATTTTTATCTAGCAATAAACAATAAATAAACATATGTGCATGCATAAATAAATTATAAACAAACAAATACAATTTATAACAAAAAAACTATTTTAAACTAAAAATAATTGTATTTTAAAACTATTTTATTAAACAAAATTATGAGTTTAATTGTTTAGGCTAGACATGTTAGATAATAGTTTATCCAATAGTTCTAACTCCAAAGAACATGGGATTTATAGCTTAAAAGTATCATTTTGATATATCACTTTTGGGTGTAGTTTAACGTATCCCGTATTGACTGGTTTTAGTTTACTTTAGATAATATGTGTTTCTTTTGAAGTCAATATTTACTATATTTATGCCTTATTATCATTTAAGCAGACGGCATAAACAAAACATACTTCCACATCTTCAGGCTGATTTTGTATAAACAAAGCAGATTGTTGATGATAGTCTAAAACACAGCATGACGGTATTTAGACCATCTTAAAGAGTTCCATCTGACTCCATGTTCTCGATCCAGGGCCAGGGTGTTCTCTCCGAGCGCCTCCGCAGTTTCAGCATGCAGGACCTGTCATCTTTCCAGGAAGAGGGCCAGGCAAAGAATGCAAGTTCTGTAACTACTCAACCTGCAGCCGCGCAGCACAGAACACGCACTATGATGCGCAGCAAATCAGATGCTGGTTACAGCAAGGGTAAGCAAAGACAAGCCAAATGATCAGTGCTGTATTTCTCTTAACCCTTTGAACAAGATCCTACTATCAGCCAATCAGATTTCTGCTAATCCTGTTTGGTTTAGCTGCTTCTCTCAATCATCCCTTACATGTAATTAATCCTTAACTTGAGTGTTGTAGCCCTGCCAATGTCCTGGGTAAATGTTTGATTAGGAAATTGTTTATTATTGTCTAGTCTTTACCTAATTTTATTGCGCATTACAGTGAAAGGATCATAGAGAAGCATTTATTTCTCTTAAAGGATAGTTCACCCAAAAAAGGAAAATTCTGTCAAAGTCATGTTGTTCAACCAATATGAGTTTGTTTCTTCCGTGGAACACAAAAAAAGATATTTGGCAGAATGTTCCTGCTGCTCTTTTCCATACAGTTAAAGTGCATGACAACGGGCTGTCAGTGCTTCAGAAATTATGAATTCACTTTGCATTCACTTGAATTGAATGCAAAAGAGGACCAGGAAGTTCCCCTGCACCAATCATTTTTAGCAGCATTGTCTTTCACAGTGTCAAAACTATGGTAACTTATCAGTTTTTGTCATTCTGCTTTACATAAGTATCGAATCTTCCATAAAGCCATTTATAATGAATGTAAAAATGCTTTGACTCAGTTTTAAAATATATTCAGAGTATAAGTTGGAGTCACAGTCTGTGTTTTAATGTGCTGTTGTCATGGTACAGGCCATGATTTTGACATGACCGAATATGAGATGTTGAACTTGGAGCAATATGCCCCCATTGAGCCTCCTGGTCCGCTGACACCCACACCCACCCCGACCCCATCCCAGCCCACTCTGCCTCAGCCTGAGCCCATGACTCCACTGCTTTCCCCTCCTGAGTCCTTCCAGGATAAATCCGCATCCCAACCCGTAGCCTCAGAGGAACATGAGGAGAAGGAGGAATTTGCCTCATCTGCTTCAGTCCAATTCAGAGTTAAGAGGCGTGCCCCTGAGGTACCCCTGTTTTCTGATGCTTAGCTGTTGACTTGCCTGGCAGCAATGAGCTAACTGTTAGCTTGTTGTGACTAACCTGCTAAATCACTAACCAATGTTTGCTGTTTACCGGCAATAGTCAGCTGAGTGAGTCTCCGATGAGTCTGACACTCTCACCTCAGGTCACGACTAGCATTCGGTTACGGTGAGTCATAGGAGAGACGTGGCTGTCTAAAATGGCAGGGAAAGATTATTCAAGACACTTTGATGGATGAGAGACATTGTTACACAACATAAATTATAAGGCTTATTCTACCAAAATGTCAGATTTGAAAATGCTTGCTGCTTAACTGACAAATCTTTGTTATTGAATAACTTTTTGTTATTGTCTCTTGTTATTGATATTTTCTGCTGGTAAAAGGTTCTTTATAATGGAAAAAGGTTATTTAGATTATTAAAATGTCATTCTAAGAAAAAAAGAAATAAGAACTGGAAATAGGAACCCAAAATGTTATAGCATCACTGCAAAAACCCCCTTTTGGATTTTAAAGAGTGTTAGAGTAATGTTTGATTTATAAACTTTTATTTTTATTATTTCTTACTGTTTATTTCATCAGAATTATTGCACTTTCACATAAGCACAAACCAAAAGAATGTCAACTCGCATGGTCTGCTCACAGATTTAGTCGCAGCAAACAGTGCAAATGCCGGCGTGAAAACAGACGCTATTACACTATTATTTGAGCAGAATATCTAGAGCATGTGCACATGGTTGCCAGGTTGGAAAGTTTAAGTAAACCACCGGGCAGAAGATTTATCGATTTAAAAGAAAACCTTGTTTCAGGATAAATAGGCTAATCAACAAGCAAATATCGCATATGATTATGCTTAGTAAATATAGAGAAGCATGATTAAAATCATGGTGCAGCCCAGTCTTAACTGAACCAACACTGAACTGACTTGATCTATTTAATGACACTGTTGTCTTTTAGAGCTGCTGTACAGCAGAATCTGAGTTGTCTCCAGTTTCATCAATGATTCTGCTATTTTCCTGTTAATCACTGTGAAGCTGCTTTGGCACAATCTGTACTGTATAAAGCGCTATAGAAATAAAAGTTGTCTTGACCTCTGAGCACCCCCTTACAGTGGACCATATTTTGTTGTGGTGATGGTACTGTGACTTCTCCAGAAGCTAACAGGTCAGATGTCAGCTGACCAGGAATCAAATGGGATGGGATTTCATTTGTAGATGTTGGTCAGAGTAGCCCTGCCCTATAAAGAACTGAGTTTGCAGCTTACAAGAATTGTCTGATGTGAACCATGCCTTGAACAAATAGAAATATCAGTGCACCTAAACTTAATAATTAGCCTTGATGTTCATCAGTTCACTGTAATTGTCTATAAATGGAAAAAAGTTCAGCACTGTTGCGACTCTAAGAATGAGTGACCTGTAACATTGACTGCAAGAATGCCATAATGTCATCCTTTGATTCATTTCAATATTCCTGTAGTTAAGATCATGCTGCTGCCTTTTATAGATGTGTGGAAGGACAAGAGTAGCATCTAAACACACGCTACAGTAAAAACATTTAGAAAGAATTATGATGTAAAACTTCTCCTGTTCTCCTGTTACTTACAGGACTCACAGTTGTAACTTTTTTTCTTGTAATTGTGATTTTATATCTGAAAATGTAGACTATTTCTTGTATTTGTGAATTTATTTCTCGTTATTGCGAATTTATTTCTCACAGTGGTCTTGTAATTGTGAATATATTTTGTATAGTCTCCGCCTTTCTGAAACGCGTCGATTTTTACAAAGCTCATCATTCTGAAAAGCGAGGTGTGCTCTGATTGGTCAGGTTTTCAGTGTGTTGTGATTGGCTGAATACCTCAAGCGTGTGACGGAAATGTTACGCCCCTTGCCCTATTGTGGTGCCGTGTCCCGGCGCGACGAGACAAAACCAATAAAACCCATTACAAACGAGGCATTTGTAGCATCCAGTGGGGACATAATTATGGATTATTATGACTTATACTGTCTTTGCGTTGCGTATCGAGCCGCGTAAACATAAAACCATGTCTGCATTTGTGATCGGAGAAACGACAAACAACAAGTGCTACTCTACACTGCCCAAAACTCGCGTTTGAATCATCAGTGGTAAATCCTTTAAATATGAAAACGTACTTACAGGATATGAGCCTGCATTATTTGTCAGAACACCGGCATTGTAGGCTACTCTCCCAGGAAACAGTCCTCGTCCTCCGTAAAATGCACTGCACACAGTGACGTAGACATGTGGGGGCATGTTTAAACGAAGTGTTTTAGGAGGGCGTGGACCAGTCTTAACTTTTATAAAGAATATCTCTTTGTGTTTGAGACTTTAGTCTTTGCAACTTTAGGGATCTTATCTATTCACGAACAGCTTGTAACACTTCAAAGAGAAAGGAAAACTTGAAATCGCATCATATGACCCCTTTAACAATTTTACTCTAATGCTGTAACTGAGTCTGCGGAGTGAGGAACCAGTTACAGTTTTATTAACACCAGATCAATGGTGAACAGAGTCAAGCAGCCGTAAGGGAGAGACAGGAGCATAAACAATAACAGGCAATGGTCGGGGCAGACAGAAGAGAATCCAGAAATGATAAACAAGTGCTCCTGATGGAGAACAGGTATGTGTAATTACTGTAGTTCCAGGTACGGGGCTTGTGGGAAATGTAGTCCATGGTGAGAATTGACCGGTTTCATGACAGAGCCCCCCCTCCTAAGCCGTGGCCTAATGGTTAGAGAGTCGGACTCATAACCCAAAGGTTGTGGGTTCGAGTCTCGTACTGGCAGGGATTGTAGGTGGGGGGAGTGAATGTACAGCGCTCTCTTCCACCTTCAATACCACGACTGAGGTGCCCTTGAGCAAGGCACCGAACCCCAACTGCTCCCCGGGCGCCGCAGCATAAATGGCTGCCCACTGCTCCGGGTGTGTGTTCACGGTGTGTGTGTGTTCACTGCTGTGTGTGTGCACTTTGGATGGGTAAATGCAGAGCACTAATTCCGAGTATGGGTCACCATACTTGGCCACATGTCACGTCACTAAAAGCAGCTTCCAGACGCTCCTACCAGAAAGTTCTACTAATAGTCCACGGTGGAGTCGACGGAGGGAGGAACCATGAAGGGGGTGGAACTGGAGGTACCAGGGGTTCGACTGACGGAGACAGAGCCAGGGAAAGAGGAGCCCAAGGCAGAGACGAAGAGCCGTAGAGCCCAGGTGACACTGAGGGAATGGAGGACCATGGCGGAGCCAATGGCTCTGGCGACTGAAGCGCAGGCGGGGATCCGGAAGGCCACGGTGGAGCCAGAGCAACCATGGACCAAGGTGGAGCTGAAGGGAGAGAGGAGCCCAACAAAGTTGGAGGAATGGAGGGATGAGGTGAAGCTGGAGGAGTGTAATCCTAAGGCGAGGGTGGGACAACTGACCAACGTGGAGCCGGGGGACGAGGAAGCCTGGCAGAACTAGTGGACTGACGGAGCATGGTGGAGATGAGGTAGCTTGGGGCCGAGGCATCGCCAATGGGTCGACGGACCAAAGTGGAGTCCAGGTCTTGAAGGCCGAAGACAGAGATCTAGGTTCCTCCACTCCTGGTGTAGCTGGAGGTTGGATGTCCTGAAGGGGATCCTGACCGCTAACCACCCTCGAAGGATGACCTGAGGGACAGACAGACAACAGCGGAGACAGGACAAAAAACATGACCGGCAGAGGAGGAGGAAGAGGGAGGTTGGGTGGGACAAAAGGGAACACAGTTTTACAATTAGTCTCTTTATCCATAAATGAACAGGCGTGAAGTTCATAATCGGCCTCCTTGGTCATTGTAGAGCAGCAAACAAACAGAGTCCAAACAACAGGCAAGAGATCGGGGCAGACAGCAGAGAATCCAGAAACGATAAACAATCCAGGTAATACACAAAAAAACAATCCTCAATAAAGAAACGCTTGGTATGTCGCACAGGCAAACAATGCTTCGCAGTGAGTGCAAGTGACTAAGTAACCTTTATATTGCTCCTGATGGAGAACAGGTGTGTGTAATTGTGTGTGTAGTATGGGGCTTGTGGGAAATGTAGTCCATGGTGAGAATTGACCAGTTTCGTGACAGATGCCATGTCTACACTGGGCATCTGTCGCATCTGTTGTCGAATCTGTTGTCGCATCACAACAGCTTGAGGTTATCTACACTAAACGTGTCAAAGCGAAAGTTCCAAATGCATTTTGTCCTGTTGTCAGTAGTAGCGTAAGTGTGTATATTACTGTATTTGTCTCATCAAATGTGGAGAGTTTCAATGATTATAATGGATTTACTTTGATTTTGTCGTATCGCTTGTGTCCGGTGTAGACACTATTTGAGAAATAGGCTTCCATAGATTGATAATACTTAATGTTTTTGTGTTTTTTTTTTGCATCACTTTTTTTGTACAACATTTCATTCTTTTATGAACCAAAGCTAGTGGACCAGTTTAACCCGTGACCATACCACCTAACCTAACTGACTAAAAACAGGCCTTTGTACACAATGCATATTCAGTCATGCATTCTCAAATCATGTTTGTCTTTCCTTAGACTGACACATCACAGAAATATATGTGCCCTTGCTTATATTGGCCTGATCTTGTGATCATGTTTATTTGTGGACAGTAAACATGAAGTGTGCATCGCTCTCTGATTTGACCTGCTGGTTCACTGATTGACCCGTTTGTTTGATATATTCTCACATGTCTCTTGTTTCTCTCTCAGCCTCCTCCTAGAACCCTAAGACCTGTCACCCGATCCAGATCAAAGAACGCCCTCTCTTTGGACACTGAAGCCATGTGACTGTGCATATACTCCGAGAGCGCTTTAGCTGTCTTACCTGCAACATGAGAAGACGCAACAAGGGAAGGCAGAGAAAAAAATGGAATGCAGCCCAAATGTTCAAATATTCAAAAGCAGCCTTGCTCTATAATGAGGTAACCAAAGCGATGTGCAACCTTTCGCTTCTGATCTTTGACACTCAAGAGGGAGGGGATTCATTTAGGTAACACGTTCACGTGCATACTACTGCTCTGAGACACTTTGGGGGTTATTAAACTTGTTTTGTATATATTTATGGTATGTTTGAGTGTCGACTGTTTGATTTCTTGGTATGATTTTGGGAGAAACAAACGCATGCATGTCCCTCTGGTCACCCAACCATAATCACTGCACACAGTCATAATACTTACTGTTTATGAACATATTTTATTTTTAGGGGGACTGCACTCATTTCGGGTCGCCCAAAGCCCCCCCAATGACTACTGAGTAGCAAGGTGTTTCAGAATCAGCCTTTCTTAGAACAGTAGTTCTTAGTGAAAAAAAAATACTGCACTGATGTGGTAGGTGTGTTTGACTGCAAACATAACATTTATTTCATGATTTATGTATCAACAAATGCAAGGGTTCATCTGTAGAGACGGACTTTTTAATACATGCTTGTAGTTGAACCAAATATAGGTATTGATCACAATACCCGATGTGATTTGTGATTTAAAATAGATGGACAAAGTGCAATGTATTTTACGATTCTTCTAAACTTTCAATAGTTCAGCCATAAACTTAAAATATTGCGCTGTAACTTCATATAAAGTTAATCAATAACCATCTTGTTAAAAATACACTAAAAATCTTTCTAGACAGAAAGAGGCAATTAAGTTGATATTTGTTTATGGAGATTCTTACTTTACCTCATTAATTATTAGGTATATGCAGTATTTTTTTATAATTTCAAAACTCAGCACTGATTGATCAACATGGAATTTCATGTATTTTGATGTAATTTAAGCTGAATATTTTCTGTTATTTCTTAGTTTGGCTTCTTAAACCTCTTCAGTTGCTTGATGTTGCATGTATTATTGCCAATGACAATTTGAATGTGTCTCACATTTTTGGCCTTCAGTATTAAAGTACCTTATCAGAGTTGAGCAGGCATTAGTGGTGATTTGGCACAACACAAAGCGGGTCCTTCAGTCAGTGTAGTCGTTTTACTTTTGTAGCATTCACACATTTAGTCATATGAGGACAAACAAATGTCTGAAAACACTGTGCAATTACATTAGCATGTATCACTGAGAAACTCAACAACAGTTTGCTGTTGCATCATTCCTGATCACAGTCAAGTAACTTGTAAATCTCTATGTCATGGAGAGGACAGCAGTGCATCAACTATCAAACACATAGCAAACACAGCTGGATCTTAGAACATTGTATATTTAGAAAGCTGTTCACAATGTGTTTTATACTGTGAGAATGATGAAAATCCTAGTCTCATAAACACGCTTTGACTTGTTGTATTTGCGATCTTGTAGCCGTTCAAATGATTATATCAAACTTCACTGACAAAATAGCAGGCTCAGGAACAGTTTTTGTCATTTCATCACAATTTTATTTGAACGTGAAAATATCTACAATGTGAACTAAAAAAGTCATTGGAATAGTGATTATCTGGTTGGCGTTCTTTTTGTTGGGTTTGTGTTTCCAGTTTTTACAGTGAGAGAGTAGCATTTTCTCTATGTGAGATTGGCGGGATTTTAAAGTGCTCTGTATGGAACCATCTTTGGCCTTTTACAGCATATAAAAACAGCTGACTGTTGCTTCTTTGTATATTCAGGTCATTCAAGGCACAACCTTTGAAATACCATGTGAAGAGCAGTTTAGTTGTGGTTTAGGTAATCTGTCATTCGGTGGGAAAATAGCTATTTATGAATTTAACCCATTTTAAAGGGGTGGTTGATTACGATTTCACATTTTTAACATTAGTTAATTCTAATGTTGCTGTTTGAGCATAAACAATATCTGCAAAGTTACGAAGCTGAAAGTTAAATGCAAACGGAGAAATCGTCTTTTAAAATTCTGGCGGTTTAATGCCTACAAAAACGGCTGGTAGTGACTACAAGTTACTTCCCGGGTTCGTGACATACCAAACCCTGATAAACCCCGCCCTCGGGAAAAGGCACCAAAGTGGGCGAGGCCATGCTGCGCTGCTTTAGAGAAGAGGAAGAGAAAACTAGAAGTGCACGAAAAAATCTATTCATATATGAATTGCGATTCTGTCTTCTAACGATTCTAATGGATTCACAAGTTTCAAAATCAATGTTCTAAAGCAGCGGTTCTCAATACTGTTCCTCGCGTCCCCCTGCTCTGCACACGCTCTGCATCTCTCTCTCTCATTCAGCTCAGCTCCAACAATGAACTGTTCCAATTATACACTTATTTTCACATAGCTATGACATGTTAGACTGCACCCCATAAACACAATCAAACCTAGAAAAAAAAACAGTGAAGCACCCCTTTAAAATATTAATCTCGGTGGACAACTTTCTGGATTGTCAATTTTCGAATATGAACGTTCGACATTGCATATGCATGCTTAATCATGTCAGACGAAGATGTATTTAAATACAGGGACTTAAGTAGAGGCTGTGCCTTTAAAGACTAGAAAAGTCCTGGCTGTCTGTTAAACCCATTTGAAACAGAACTGTCATGTATTGTTGAGTTGTTTGTGCCAGGTTGTTAAGATTATGAGAGTCAAAACGTCTTTTCGCTATTCTCTTATAACATAACGGCTTGCAGCATCTACATAAAAAAAGTATTTCCATATTTCACAGCTGTCATGTCTGGCAGGCCAGAATATTCTGTTTCTCATTGCTCGAAGTTGAATAAATCTTGAGTGAAAAGACAGAAGTTGATGTAAAAGAGTGAAATGATCTGTTTAAAAAAAATTATTGGCATTTAGCAATTAAAAGGTGAATGTGAAATGTGTCTTGTGATCTGTTTAAACTGAAAAATATATAAAAGATTCACTTTTATTTCCTTCCATGATCTGGTCTAAATAATAGTTGCACATAATTCATTGTATAATTTAAATTATTTATGATTTTATTATACTAAAATAAATGAACTAGTTTTTGCTAATGAAAGCCAGCTGTCAGATAGTTCAAAAAGTTGGGCACAAAGACAACAGAACCACTTAATCACAAATAATACATTTTTATATAATCAGTTAATTAACTGTTATGAATTTTCAGTGTTTCATCAATCATTTTATTTGAATTAATTTCTGAAATCAATCTAAACACCACACTTGTGAACAACTGCATTAAAATGCAGAAAATATTTCTAAATTCCTAATATAACTAAATATTTCTGCCACGTTTATGCAAAACGTGTGTCTCCAACAATAGGTGGACTTTGAAACAATCATTTATAAAACTGTAACAATTGAAAGAATTTATTCAGGAGCATTTACACATGAATCCTCAACATGTTTTCCAATAGTGAATTCATACACACTTCATGTCTCATGTCTTTATTTGCTTGAACAGCGTAAGGTTAGGAGGGTTTTACACCTTCAGGTTCACTCTATCCTGGTATTTCTGGTACGGGTCGTTGAGGTACCAGTTTCTTCTTTTCCAATAGGATGTTGTCATTTTGTCCAATAATTTACATTGAGTTTTATTACAGAATACATGTTCTCGGAGGCGCTTCTTGCGGGCTGCTGACTTCTTCCACAGCTTTTTCTTATATCCAGCCTAAAAACAAGAAGACCAAGTTTCAGTTCAGGTGTGTCGGCTGGATTTAAATACCAGACAGGACTTTGAACAAATGATTTTATGACAGCTCTGAATAACATGCGAGCAGGAAATTACCTTTCTCCTCACCCACAGGCCACAGTGTAGCCTGAGAAACCTTTGAACAACCGACTTCACAGACTTCCTCTTGCCTTTCCTCAGACTGTAATATGTTAAGTTCCTGACCGGCTGGAGCATCAACGAAGGGATGAGGGGAGTTACTCTGCAGAACAGAAAAGGTTACTATCAGTAAATAAGCATAACATGCAATACAGCAGTGTTCTTCAAATCTTGCCCTGGACGACCAATGCGCTGCAGAGTTTAGCTCCAACCCTGATCAAACTCCCCTACCTGTGATTTTCTAATGATCCTGAAGACATTGATTAGCTTGCTCAGGTGTGTTTGATTAGGGTTAGAGCTAAACTCTGCAGCAAAGTGGATCTCGTGGGCCAGATTTGAGGATCCCTGCAATACAGTGTCAGCCAACAAAGCAGAGTTTCCCTCCTTCAACCCAAATCAAACACACCTGGACAAGCTAATCAAGGCTTAAGGGTTACTAGAAAGCCCACCGCTACTTTAGAGCATGTAGTATTTGATGAAAAAATAGCATTAGCTAAATTTCTGAGGCTTGAAACGTCTCCCTTGTTTTTCAACATCAAAGTAAGTTATTTCCAGAGAATGTGTGAGACTTCCGATACATTAGCTGCTATTGTTAAATAACTACAAGTATAACACTGCAGTACCAAACAATGAACCTACTTGCACTACAAGCCCAATTGTTTGATAATATTGCCAAATTTACACTGCAAAGGTGGCACAGAAGTGCTTCTGAAGTGGCATTTAGGTGTCTTTCCACAGACTGTTTAATGCTGCTCAGATGTGGCATTAATGCATTTACACAGATACAAATACAACTATATGCTTTGATATTAGGGGCTGAGGTGGGCCAGAGTAGCCTTAATTTAGTCTGGCTTTTATTCTGCTTTACATCTTTGAGCAGGGCACAGAGCATCCTAAACTCAGCTGCGTAAAGAGACCTTATATAATATAAATGCAACGTTAAGCAGCATAACAGACTGTTTTTGTCACAGCTAAAACAGCTGGAAGTGGCTGACACCGGAAGCCTTGCATATTCAAGTTATTCACATTAAAAATGGTGCACAAGTGGATACAATTCAAGGAAAAAGTAAGTTAATTACATTTTAAACACAATATTGCCCGTGGGATTATATTTGCTCAGATATATAGGTAAACAGAGGGTCTTACCGCTTCAGCAGGCCGGTCTGTTGGAGGGGAGCAGCGGTGTGAACAGCAGGCAGTGGTTTAGAGCCATGTCTCTGACATAGAGTTGAGAAGCGCGGTGTCTGTGTGAGTCTGAGACAGTCTCTGCCTAAAACCGACAGAGGCCTCAGCAAACCTGATCAGCAGAGGAGAAAGAACTCTAATTTACAGAACACAGCTACATAAATACGATACATACTGACAAAAATACAGTACGGTGTATGGACGTTTTGTGTTGTCTGATGATAGACTACAGTAGCATAACTGTTATACATCACATTTTTCACATTCTACCACGATGAAATCGAAAAAAAAGACTTGTAAAGAAAGACATAAATGACATTTAGAATAATATAATATAATATTAAATAAAACGTCGGATAAAACGCACTAAATTGTTATTGCATCGAAGAAAACGGGTCCAGTGCACAGACGTCCTTTGCAAATTGAAATAGACACAGGAATCTTTAATGGTGTATTCCAATGCACGCCAACTTTAAGAGTCTATAAAATTTCATTTTTTTCATTTTCAGCAACGTATTTCTGACCTTAAAACTTAAATGTGCACTTTTTCTACCTGATAGAGCTCTTGTCAAGGTGGCCGCCATCTTAAACGCCACTGACGTATCGACTACAGTGGCCGGTTAGGACAAACCGAACGCGCTGGAGAGAACAGCAAAAGGGCTACAAAAACCCAACTAAAATTGATTCCCAGAAATCAAATATATAATAAAAATAATAAATTGAAGTTGTGAGCTCAATTTATTACACAAAACACTAGATCTAGATATAGAAAACCGCGAAGAATAATACATCGTGTAAATGGATGCTAGCTTTGTTCAAATTAAATAATAATAATTTGTGGGGAAAACGCCACTGAGAACATTTATACACATTGGAACCAGTGCTACTTTTTTCAGGATTCTTTGATGAATAAAAAGTTCTTTTGTAATCTATTTTGCAATAAAAACAATTTTGTAACAACATAAGTCTTTACACTTTTTAAAACCAATTTAAGTGAAGTGAAGTGACGTGGCCAAGTATGGTGACCCATACTAGGAATTAGTGCTCTGCATTTATCCCATCCAAAGTGCACACACACAGCAGTGAACACACACCCGGAGCAGTGTGTGCTCCGGGTACATATCTTACTTAACACACTTAACATATCTTTGCTGAATAAAAGTATTAATTAAAAAAAAAAAAAAAAACGTATTGACCCCAAACTTTTTAATGGTAGTGTATATTGTTCCAAAAGATTGTGCTTATTTGAAAATTTGCTTTGACGTTCCCTTCAATTTCGGTCTCTCAACATTGCATCATGATGACGCGATGGGTATGGAATCATTTTTGTGTCTTTATTATTCAATCAAACATTCTGTGTTTGAGAGTAAAACTAATTATTTTGTAATTAAAAAATAAAAGATTGCAAAAAAAAGTCTTCTTAAGGCTCAAAAATAAAGAAATTGATAACAAAATTATTTGCAGTGGGTATAAATCTTTGAAAATCTTTATTTTTCTTTGTGCACAGTGACCAATAGAAAAAGGCCTTTCATCCTAGAGACCGCCCACTGAGAGACAGCTTCACTGGCAAGCAAAACTTTTCAACTGGCAAACAAAAGTTTTAGACCCGCAAAAAAAGACGGCAGAAAAGAGAGTCACATTTGTGGTATTGGGGAAATACTGAAGCCTCATTGGCAGAACGACGTTGCAACGCAAAGCCCAATGGCATTCAAGCGTGCAAAGTAGAGGCGGGAACTCGTCGTGTAACGCAGCGTAGGGGTGGAAGGAAATGAGATTGTAGATATTCTGGCAAGAGGAGCAATAAAGCATGAAACAGTTGATATACAAATACCGTTATGTAGAACAGAAATCAAAACCATTATTAAGGGACATACAAACAAAATATGGCAAGAATACTGGGACATAACTGATACTGGACGACATCTGTATAACATACAAAAACAAGTAGGCTTAAATAGTATCAGGCAGAGCAGGAATCCAAAGGAAGGAAAGATAATTACACGTCTTAGAATAGGTCATGCTGGTTTG